ATGTGCAGAATTGAAAGTACATTAGCTTTAATATTTTGAAAGTATGATGAAATTTTATAGGTAAAATGAAGAGCGGAAAATTGATATTTAAAAAATAATATTATACATAGATGCAAGATAAGGCTTTTCTGCTGGTGTTCTTAGAAGCATTTGCATCTCTTAATCTATTTTTGAAAACCAAAAGCACTTTCCTTTGTCTTTAAGAATTTATATTATGTTTATTTATCCACTGTGGAATCGGAATTTTAGAAGCATCATTTCAATGTTTTTATTTTTCTGCATTCATTAATTAATTCTTAGAAATACTCTTTGTTTAAAAGAATGCTTTGATTGCCTCACTCTGTGTATGACATTAGGATAACCAATGTAAAATTTTTAAAATTTAGGCATATATTTTATTTTCCCATGTCATTCAGGGAGGCTATTTATGCTGACATGGGTAAACCAAACTTTTTTTTTCTTTTATTTTTTTGCTTGTATGATTGATCATTAGGTTTAAGTACACCTTCTAATATCATGATAATTGTGAAACAGATTCCCTAGGACTAATAAAAGAAGTACATTCTTAAATTCATCAATTTCCATTTTCATTAATAATTGTCAATAAATGTAGAATTATTTTGTTTAGCGAAGACTTTAAATTAGCCCAAAAATTGTAGACAAAATTTGGGTTTTCCAGTTGAAATCTCAAGCCATCCATACGTAATAGTTTCCTTTAAGTTATAGCTCATATTATAATAAATCAATTTATCACTTAAAAATTATGTAATATTATCTTTATTTCCATGTATCCTTTTCATATAATTATAACCAAACTGTATCTCTATGAACAATTCCTTTATATCCATTCTGTTTTAAACAAAAGGGTGTAAGATTTAATTCCTTGAAATAATATGTTTCATTGTTACTATAAATAATTTAGTGGGATGTTTTTATGTATCAGCCAGGTCTCATGATATTCTATGCAATGAGTTTATGTTTATCTTCTACTCAATTAAGAAAAGGAAATTAATATAACTTTTTTTGAAAAAAAACAGATGACCAATACATTACATTGGAAGGAAAGAACTGCATTGAGTTTACATGACCATAACAGTCACATTACCCAATACTTTCAAACTCTGTCACCACATAATTTCCATAATGAAATCTGTATTTCCTAGGTTAGCAAATGAGGCTCTTCAAGATTTGTCCCTGTGCACTAGTTTTATCTTTTGCTTCTTCCCAAATTATACCTTTAATCTAAAAAACAAAGAAACAATACAGTTGCGGGGAGTCAATTCCCATGGTCTTCCCATGCGTGTCAGAGTAGAAATGTACTACTCCACAGAGTTTTCAGTGGCTGGGTTTTTGAAAGTAGATGGACAGGCCTTTCTTCTGGGGGCCTCTGGGGGCCTTTTTAGTACATAGGGAATTAACCAATGAACCACCCAAGACCAGCCATATTAGTTTGCTTTCAGTTTCTCAAGGTCATCCAAATTTTCCACAACTCTTCCTTTGGACTTGAGCATATCTTGTCCATTTTTCTATGGCAAACTGCCATTAGTCATTTTAGAGTAGACATTTGAGAATAAATGGTGGCCCTGTAGTTAAGCATTCAGCTGCTAATTGAACAATTAGTTGGTGGTTCAAACCTACTAATAGCTCTGTGGGAGAAAGATATGGTAGTCTGCATCCCTAAAGATTGTAACCTAGGACATTCTATGTGGGCAGTTCTACTCCTTCCTATAGGGTCACTATGAGTCACACATACCTTGATGATGGTAGTAAGGGGTATCCACTTGTCCAGAAAACTTTTATCAATCAATAGACATACAGGAAGCCCCCAGATTATAAACAAATCCCATTCCTAAATTTCTCTTTGAATTGAATTACAATGTAATTTAGAACAGTTAGGTCCAGTTCATATCTAACATTAGTTAGTCAAACGTTTATCTTGGTATATAGTCTACCTTTCTGTTCATAAAAATCATTAGGGAAAAACTTCCAGATACATTAAAACATCTTTAATAT